CATATACATATACATAGACATACATATAAATGTACATAGACATATGCATATACATATACATATACGTACACATATTTATATACATATACATATACGTATGCATATACTTATACATATATAAATACGTATACATATATATACACATACGTATACACATACATTGGCGTAGGCATACACCTAGACATATACATATACATATACATATACATATACATATGCTTATACATAGACATATACATATACATTTACATATACATATACATATGCATGTACATGTACATGTACATGTACATGTACATATACAAATACATATACATAAACATACACATATATGTATGTGTAAGATGTTAGCCAGCGCAGGCCCCACACAGTGTGCTTCTAGCAATAGACGGTGTATGTGGAGCGAAATATGATGTGCAATGTATGTGGTGCAATCTACGGGGTGCGTACTGTATGCGGTGCAAGTAACGTTGTGCAATGTATATGTATATATACATCTATAAATATGTGGTGCAACCGATGTGGTCCAATGAATATGATACAATGTGAGTTGTGAACAATTTACGCGGTGCAATCGTCGTTGGGCAATCTAAGTGGTGCAATGAATGTTGTGCTTTCTATGTGGTGCAATTCATTTTGACTGTCTTGAAGCTGTCCTCTCCACTGCTCGTGCAAACATCCCACCCTCTCACCCGCAACTTGGTCGCAAGACCTCTTAAGACCGTGACGGTAGCTACCAGATGGCACTCGGCAACGACACCGACGCCGACGACGACAGCGACGACGACGACGACGACGACGACGCCGACGACGACTGCGACGACACCGACGACGACTCCGACGACATCCACGACGACGACAACGACGACGACGACGACACCGACGACGACGGCGACGACGAGAAGGATTTCGGCATCCGCGCGCGGCGGCCGCGCGCATGTGCCCTGCATGGTGTTTTTCTACCAGGGATTGTGGCCCTGGCAAGCGCGCGACCGATGTTAAAGGAGTTCGACGCGCGCGCAAAAGTTGTTCGCATGACCGAAAGATTAAAAGCGGTTTGTTCTTTGGGGTTCGGAAAGCGCGCGCGGGTAGACATGTTGATTTTTGTTTGCAGATTTGTTGTTCGAAGATGTATGCTACGATCCGTGCGATTTCATGAAGCTCGGTCTTGAAATTGTTGAAACTACCATGTGTTTGGAAGGATTTCGACCTGCGCGCGCGGCGGCCGCGCGCATGTGCCCCGCATGGTGCTTTTTAACAAGGAATTGTGGCCCTGGCAGGCGCGCGACCGTTGTTGAATGAGATCGACGTGCGCGCAAAAGTTGCCAAAGAAGCCCGATTTGACAGGAAAATTGAACAAAACATTCTGGTGTTTGAAGGATTCGGCAAGAGCGCGCGGGCAGATGTTTCATAATTTGTGGGTGAAGCAGTCGTACGTTTTCATAGGTTTTCTTGAAACGGGATGTTGAAATTGTTGAAACCACCTTGTGTTTTGCAGAATGTCGACATGCGCGCGCAGCGGCCGCGCGCGTGTGCCCCGCATGCTATGTTTTACAAGGGATTCGCGAAAAAGTGCTATGTTAGAACAAAGAAAAGTCACCGTATAGTATGTTTCGCAAGGGAACCGAAGGGGGATCGATACCGGCCTGGCTGGGACAGTATGAATTCCCAAGTAGGATGGACATTGGGTCAGAATCATATGTGTTTCGCACAGGTTTCCGGGGAGTCCATGAGTCCGGGGGGGGTGAGAGTGGTAGAACCTATCTCATCTTAGAAAGAGAAATATGTGAGTTCCAATCTTTCTGTCCCCATAGAACACACCAATGGTGTTCCAGCACATGCACTAGGCAAACCCAGACTCGCCTGATGGTCCACCTGCAATAGGCGAGCCAACACGCGAGACCTTGACCTGTGCAGATAACTAAGACGGGCGCAGCCACGGCAACGTAGAAAGATTGTCATGCGCATGCGGCTGAGACACGAAGTCCAGATCCCGTGCCCAAGCACCGTGAGTCGAATGGTAAACTCGCACGAACCAAAGAACTCCAAGGGAGGATGATGAAGAAGGCGGAGGAGACGAACAGAGGGATCAAGTATACGCAATGCAACTAACCGCATCAAGCCGCACACAAGGGAAAAGACTATGAGCAATAACGACAATTCCTCCCTGCGCTGCTGGCGATTCGGAAGTTTCAGTAATCTCCACGCCAGTCCGGCATGTCCTTCACAACACAACAAGGAGGAGGAGGAGGAGGAGGAGGAGGAGGAGGAGGAGGAGGTGGAGGTGGAGGTGGAGGAGGAGGAAAGGAGACACGCCGTCCACAAAAAAGCACGCTCAAAGTCATACACCCGAAAAAGAAAAGTTGCCCCCACTCGAGTCCGAAGATGAACCATTCTTCGAGAGGCGGATGCGCGAGCAGTGGCAGCGACACGAATAACCTGACAAGACTAATACGTGGTCCAATATATGCGCCGCAACCTATTGGTGCAATCGATGTTGTGCAATCTAAGCTGTTCAATGTATGTTGAGCAATCTACGTAGTGCAATATATGCGAGGCAATTTACGTTATACAATTTAGTCGGCGACTGAGCGGCAACGCTGACGGCGTAGCCGACGGACCAACACGCCGGCCCAGACGACTAGCGGCGACGAGGCGGCGACGGAGCGCCCACGGCGGCGACGTAGCCGCCGGACCAACACGCAGGCCCAGACGACTGGCGGAGACGAGGCGGCGACGGGGCGGTGACGGCGGCGACATAGCCGCCGGACCAACACGCAGACCCAAATACGAACCCAGAAGTGCAAGCATTGCTTAAGAAAAAACGGAGACGGAGACAGGCGTGGACGCTTTGCAGGACGGATAGTAGATCCCCTGGTCCAATGTTCACTAGACTTAAAAGAAATTGGATGCGCTGCACCCTGCGATTTGACTTCTCGACAGACTTGTCTCGCATAATACTACCGAAAAGGACAGCCGTGGAACTGTCACTGGACGACTGCATGGTACCAGAACCACTAGAGACCATTTTTTGGAATCGGCGATAACCCGGGTTATCCGGGGGGGGGAGGGGGCCGGCCGATAACCTAACCTTCGCGCTGTGGGCAGCCCTGCATATTCCCGCGCGCAGCGGTGCTGCGGCCCCTACAGCTGCTAACGATGCTGCCGCGATGCTACTAGTGATGATGCGACGATGCGGGCGCCGTCTGAGAATGCCTAGGGATGTCTGGACAGGTCGCATTCTCGCTGTGCAGTACACAGCTGCACAGCAGGGCCACTGCACATTGAAAGGTGGCGGTCATGCGACGGAGCCCACTCCGAGCCGCCGAAATCTGCCGGGCCCGCCTGCCAGGGGGGGGAACGGCGTGCGAGAAACGTAGGCTGTCCTCTTCCCCCCTTTGCCCCTCCCCTGGGGCCCAGGGAGGAAGAGGAGGAGGAGGAGGAGGAGGAGGAGGAGGAGGAGGAGGAGGAGAAGGAGGAGGAGGAGGAGAAGAAGGAGGAGGAGGAGGAGGAGGAGGAGGAGGGGGGAGGGGGAGGAGGAGGCGGCGGAGGAGGAGGAGGAGGAAGAGGAGGAGGAAGAGGAAGAGGAAGAGGAAGAGGAAGAGGAAGAGCGAACGTCGCTCCAGAGGAAGAGTCGCCTACCTACCCGTGCGTACACGTGCAGTATCAGGGCAACAAAGTACGTACTGTGGCCCAGAACCAGGATGCGCTGAAGGGATAGCGTGCCACTGGTGCGTCAGGCAAAGCCTCAAGACCGACCAAACGAGCGGGTCATCGGGGGTCGAGGCGTGGCCCCAAAAGGACCCAAAACAAAGTATCAGACTGACAGAGTAAGAACAACAATCCCTAGGAAAACAGGCGGACCACCAGGGGGGCCGACACCTCAAATATTGTGACATATTGTCAGATTCATTCTCACGCCCAAGCTTGCAGAGGGCCGAGCGACTATTAGTGACATGCATTCTGGCCACTGTGGGCCATGCGCCGCGCATTACTTTGACCACAGAAGGAGGAGAAGGAGGAGGAGGAGGAGGAGGAGGGAGGAGGACAATCCCGGAGTAGCGTGAAGGGGGGGTGGAGGCCCCGTAGGGAGGCCGTAGGGAGACCCCAGCGCACCTCCGGGGCCCCCGTGGCCGCCAAACCCACCTTTCGTGGCCGCCAAGATGCCCAAGATGTCTTCGTAGGTGGCTCCAGGAGGGCTCCAACGCGCCAGAGAGGCCTCACGAGCACCCAAGATGGCCTCAAGACGGCACAAGACGCCCCCAAGACGCTCCAAGAGGACCCCCGAGAAGGATTCAAAAGCAAAAAAATCTTGCTAATTTTGATTATATCTGGTCCTCGCGTGCTCGCCTTTTCGGGCTTCTCAAAATCCTAGACAGCCCGAGAAGCCCCCAAACCCACCCCAAGGCGGCCAAAAAGGCTTCAAGCAGGCTCGGAGACAGCCCAAGAGAGCCTGAAGACGCCCCAAGAGGCCGCGAAGACGGCCAAAAAGGCCCTCAAGAGAGCTCCAAGCCAGGAGAGGTCCAAGAGAGGGAACTCGCAGGGTGCCCACGAGCACCCCCCACAATGCTCCCAGGAGGCCCCCAAAAGGCCTGGAAAAAGCCCCCAGGTAGCACCCCCAACAAAAAAACAGGAGCCCTGAAGAGGCTCCAAGATGCCGCCCCCTAGGCCTCCAAGATGTCCCCAAGAAGCCGCGCAGCAGAGGCGGAGGAGGAAGAAGACAAATCAGCAACATCTGCAGTAGGGGCCAGTCCGCAAGAAACCTTCCACAAGAAACCCAACCCTGAGACCCCAGGGCGTCCATTGATTTTGGGCGCGGGAACGCTGCCCATCACAAAACCATCGAAACCCAAGAAACCCAGGAAACCCTGCAGGCGAGCAGGGTATTTCTTCACATGGGAATCCACTGCATGCGCAGGCAGCACGACGAGAAGCGGCAAACGGCATATACGAATCGGAGAGGCGCTGCGCAAGAGCAGAACGTGCGAACGCGAGGGCACCGTACACGATGCGCCCAGCGCCAGCGCCAGCGCCGCCGTGCGCGGTCGGGGCGGGAGCGCCTCGATCAAGGCAGGATTGCCGAGCGTCTGTTGGAACAGGGCAGGAGCGAGAGAATGCTCAGGGAAAGAAAGTTCGTATGAGAAGAGCGGGGTACGAGAAGATCGAAGTACGTGTACGAGCGAGGTCAAGAAGGCCACGAAAAGCATCGCGTCATGACTTGAGCCTCTGACCTGCATGGCCACTCCAGCCTCCATCATCGGCCGCACACAGCGTTTTGAAATTAAAGTTGCAGTGCGGAGGGAACCTGCTGGCTGCTTCCATTAAGACTTCATGTCTCCTATATGGACTCTAAAAAATCCCTGGGAGAAACGGCGTGCAAGTGCGAGGTCAGGCCATGTACGACACAACTGCTGGGCGTCAGGCTTACAACGAAGTCACCTCTCTCCCGCTCTCCCGCTCTCTCACGCTCCCCCCTCATTGCTTCTTCTGCCGCGCGCCCTCCACACACCCCTCCCCATGCCCCTGTCGAAAGCCCCTCCCCTCGGAGGAGGGAGCAAGAGGGAGGAGGGCTTCCCCCCTCTCTGGCTCCCTTATGCCTCATCCCACCCATCCCCCCTCGTACGTCACCCTTCCTCTGCCTCCCCTGCCACCCACCCGCCAACCCTTCCACCCCCTCTCCGCTCCCTCCCTCCCCCCATCCATCTCCCGCCCCACTCCACCCCCCGTCCCCCTCGCAGTGCCATGTGACGGCCAGGTGATCCCCAGGTAATGCCCCACCTCCGATTGTTGCGTTGAAACGCATGGAGCCATCAAAAGCTTCCGCAGATGTGTGAAACTATACTCTCAGCAACGTCCTGGACCGTGACTTACCCACATCGAGCTCCGCTCCTTCAAGGACTTACACTTCCGCGCTGTGCATGCGCCCCGGCACACAAGAACAAAGACTTCGCGTGCTGAGCGTGCTCTCCACCCCCCTTTTCCGCCCGCTCCTTCCCCTCCCACCGCCCGCTGTGCCCGATTCCGCCACGTGCATCCCACTTCTACCTTCGAACGCGGTGAGGACCCTCGCTGCTGCTCTCTCCTGCCACGACGGCAGACACGGCGAGCGAGCCGACCCCGGATGTCTCCCGCGGCTGCCCGCCGACCTCTCCACGGCGCTAGCCTGGGACCTCGGAGCTCTCGACCCTGGCTCATCCTCCTCCTCCTCCTCCTCCTCCTCCTCCTCCTCCTCCTCCTCCTCCTCCTCCTCCTCCTCCTCCTCCTCCTCCTCCTCCTCCTCCTCCTCCTCCTCCTCCTCCTCCTCCTCCTCCTCGCGGCTGCCCGCCGACCTCTCCACGGCGCTAGCCTGGAAGCTCGGAGCTCTCGACCCCGTCCCCTGCGACTGGCCTCTTCGCCGCGGGCTGCCGCCTTGAGGCCCCCCGAGGCCCGAGGACGGCGCGTGCGGGCACCGACAGCGCAGCAAAAGCGCACGGACGGTCCGCGGACGACAGACTGCAAGAGCCTCCACACGTCCAGCCTGGCCGAGGAGGAGGAGGAGGCGGAGGAGGAGGAGGACGGCCACCACACGCCCGGCCTGGCCAAGGAAGCGCGCACGCCGATCTCGCGCGGGGCAGGATCGGACCGGCGAGGACCATCGCGGGCGTATGGCTGGCACCCACACGCTTCGTTGAGTACCCACGCACCGTAGACGACAACGACAAAGAGCCTCTGGAGGCACAAGAGCGGACAAAAGCACCCAGGAAAGTGGACCCTCGATCCTTCTCCATCCTTCCCCCTCCCAGCCAAAACGACGAAGACGACGCCGTCTTGGCGCTCTCGCTGAAGCGCTGCGCGGGCGCCAGATGCCCAGGAAGGCCCCTCGGCCGCCCGCTGCGGCACGAGCTCAGCACCAGGGTCCAGGGGAGGCGCCAACATGGGGCTCTCCTGGCGGTGGAGCTGCGAGGAGCGAGGAGCGAGGGGAGAAGAAGGAAGGAGGAGGCTTCTTGACCACGTACACGCTAACGCGCTGCACGTGCACGCGTTGGCGGGCCCAAGGAGGGCCAGAAGAAGCCGGGCGACCCGACGCGGCAGGCAAGGGAGACCTCGCATGGTACAAGCATCCCTGGGAATGGCTGGACAGGACGGTGCTTAGCGGGTGGTGAGAGGGGCAGACAGCATAAGAGTGAGGGAAGGAAGGGGTAGCCAAGTACACCCCTGCTTCGGGTTAAACCCCCAAAAATATGCTAAGGAAATGAACTTCACTCCAAGCGTTTTAAACTGTAGTCCAGGTCCAGATCTACGAACACTTCGTGGAACAAGTGTTTGTTTTACATGCACCTTTTATATACAAGTATAAGAAGAAGTCCAGGGACCGGTCCCGATTCTTGATATCCTTAAGCGAAATATGGAGTCAATGCAACATGATGCTTGTTCTGAAGATGTGTGGTAGGATTCTAGTTTAAAGACCTCTCTCGTACTTTGCCTCCCAGTTAGAGACAGCTACGAACCGCGGACGCTACAGTGCAGAGGACCCGAGGGCGAGTCCGCACACGACTTCGAATCCCGCCAGCCCTCTGGGCGGAGGTGGTTTAGCGCGTTTCCTCCTACAACCCCTGTCTCCCCCTTCGGGGAAGAGTTTGCCATCCCCCTACCTCCTCCACTGGATCTGGAGAGGGACGCCTGAGAGATGTCAGAGGACCTTGTTGGCCCAAGATGGCTCTAAGATGGCCTCAGGTACCCCAAGATGGCCTCCAAGATGACACAAGATAGCGCAAGATGGATCAAGACTGCCTCCGACATGCCTCCAAGAGGCTCCAAGACCGCCCCAAGACGGCTCCAATTGGCCCTACGGAGCCCCCAGGGAGGCCCCCAAGGGGCACAAACCTTTCGGAACTCTCAAGAAAATCAGCGAGGTGTGCCTTCTGACATGTTCGCTTCCGATGGGCTTCTGGAACCTCAAGATGGCTGTGAGATCGCAGGAAAGAGCGCCGAAGAGGGCCGTAAGGGGCGACTTTTCGCAACCCGACGGGGCGCAGCCAATTAAAGACCCCCCTCTTCGCTCAAAACTTTTGTTCGTGAGCATCTCGGGGCATCATTGGGAGGCTGTTGGGCCAAGATGGCTCCGAGAAGGCTTTAGATAGCTCAGGATGGCCTGCGAAATGGCGCAAGCTTGCAAAAAGGGGCATCGCTCCCAGCACGCAGCGTATCACCATGATGGGAAGAGGGCAGCTGCAAACCAAACAGTGGCGAAGTATTGAGGAACACATCAGCTGCATCAACAGAAATTTTCGGAGCTCCGCGCTGATTTCTTGGATCGGCGCGGGAAACCCCTCCCTGGCGCGTGGAGCGCGTCAGGGGCCGCGCCGAAGGCGCCGCCAGAGGGATCCAGCGCCGATCCAAGAAATCCGCGCGGAGCTCTGAAAGTTCACGATCTCAGCTGCCCTGATACGCAACACCCAACACGTAGCGTACTGATACGGAGCTCAACACGTAGGCCGAACACGTACGTTTTGAACACGGACGTTTTGAACACGGCACGTGTTACGCTTCAAAACGTGCGCATCAGAGCAGCTAAGTTCATGATTATGCAGCTCTGACCTCCTCCGAAGAGTACGGGAGGGGGAGCACAGAGGACTGCCAAGCTCGCTACGGGCTCATTGAAGGGTACCCGGAGCCATCTTTCGGGACGGGGCGGCCATCGGCGAAGTGCCGGAGACTGCGGGGCAGCCTGCGGGACGCCCGTGCTGCCAGAGCCCAGCAGTTGTCCGTCAACGGGCCACGTCCTGAAAGTGAGCGGGATGCGAGGAGGAGGAGGAGGAGGAGGAGGAGGAGGAGGAGGAGGAGGAGGAGGAGGAGGAGGAGGAGGAGGAGGAGAGGGAGGAGGGAGGAGGGAGGAGGAGGAGGAGGAGGAGGAGGAGGAGGAGGAGGAGGAGGAGGAAGAGGAGGAGCAGCAGCAGCACGGAGGAGCAGGGAGGAGTGATCAGGGAGGAGGCGGGAGGAGCAGGAAGGGGCAGGGAGGAGCAGGAAGGAGCAGGGAGGAGGGAGGAGAGGGGGGAAAAGAGAGGAGAGAGAGGAGGGAGCAGGGAAGGGGAAGGGAGGGAGGGTCGTGGTGGCCTGCCGCACCCCCTCCCCTCGATCCTCCCAGTCGGCCGCCGCCCACGCGGGAGCCCAGGCCGCTCCCGTGGGGGCGCTGGAGCTGCGGCGCGCGCCCCCGCTCGCCCTGCCTGCCGCGCGGGGAGGGTGCAGAGCAGGGGGGGGCAGGCGGGGGCGCGGAGGCAAGCGGGCAGAGGCGGGAGGGGCGGAAGCAGAGAGGCAAGGGCGGAGGCAGGCGTCTTTTTGGCCGCGGGTCCCGAGGGACGCGTCGGGGCCGAAATTGGGCAGGCGGGGGCGCGGAGGCAAGCAGGCAGAGGCGGGGGGGGGCGGAAGCAGATAGGTAGGGAGCCCACAAAGGACGTACGCGCCCAACTATGTACACGAACACCACCCCTCGATCCGCGAGATCAGCCGCGCGACACGAACACTCGAGCAGTGCGCACTATCGAAACCAACGTGGATTCATGTACGTGTACGTCCTTCTCTCTCTCTCTCTCTCTCCTGATGACAGGCACGGGCGGAGGCAGGCGTTTTTGTTGGCAGCGGCGACCCTGGGCCCAAGACGCGGTCAAGGCAGCCGAGGGACGTATCGGGGCCGAAATTGGGCACAGGGGGCGACGCGCCTGCCGCGCGGGGAGGGCTCAGAGAGGGGAGGCAGGCGGGGGCGCAGAGGCAAGCGGGCAGAGGCGGGGGGGCGGAAGCAGCTGACAGGCACGGGCGGAGGCAGGCTTCTCTGGCAGCGGCGACCCTGGTCCCAAGACGCGGTCGAGGCAGCCGAGGGACGCAGCGGGGCCGAAAGTGGGCGCAGGGGGAAGACGAGGCGGGGCGCAGGAGGAGGAGGAGGAGGAGGAGGAGGAGGAGGAGGAGGAGGAGGAAGCCGCGGGCGGCGGGGCACGCGCAAGCCGGGAAGAGCTGGTACTCCGCTCTGCACTCCATGCCCCGCTCTTTGCCTCACAGCTCCTCCTCCTCCTCCTCCTCCTCCTCCTCCTCCTCCTCCTCCTCCTCCTCCTCCTCCTCCTCCTCCTCCACAGATGGCACGCCCTATGGCGTGGCAGCGCGGTTTGCCTGGAGCACGCCTGGAAGGGGGTCATCGACCGCAGACTGGAGAGCTTCCACCGTGGGGGAACACGCTCTCGATGGGGCCGCTGACCCCAGACTCGGCAGTATCCTTCCCCGCGAGGCCCAAGACGAGACCGCTCCAGAACGTCATAAGGCCCAACGGGAGGACATCAGCACGGACGACGACAAACTCGACTTATCTACCGTCCGACGTGTTCTGGAGAGGCGCTCAGAAACGACGGGGCCGCTGGCATCAGCAATAGCCGACACCATTAAACTCAAAAAATAGGTCGTCCAGAGAACTCCGCTCCACAAACGACACGGTAGGAATAAGCTGCACACTTGACACAAAAGGAGGCTTGGAACGCACACAGCTGTGAAGTCCCTGATACCAGTCGGCACAATGCATACGCCCTCGAACCCCAGCAAGACGCCGTGGAAAAAGCGCCACGATGCACGACAGTCGGGGGTCTACTGACCCGTGTCAATCCGTACCGGAACCGGGGTCAGCCAGGCGCTGCAGGATCCTGCAAGATCCTGTAGAATTCTGCACTCAAACCGTGGTCAACGCAACCCTGGCAATGCAGGATCCTGCAAGATCCGGCGCTCTGACTGACCCCCGTTTGCATTCACCCACGCCGCCTCTTGAGCCCCGAGACAAGATGACGCGGACCTTTGCTGGCATCTGCAGAAGCCTCGAATTGTACCTCGGTCTCAGCGAGGCACCACCAAGCAGACAGACCCTCCGAGAAGAGCGAGGCATTGCCGGCATTCGTGCCCCGCTCACGGGCTGCTCCACCACGCCGGCCAGGGCCGCACCGCCCTGCAGGATCCAGCAACCAGGAGCCGCCCCGACTTCGACAGCTGGCAACCAGGATTGTTGTTGATTTGCGCCTGGTTCGGTGCTGGCTCAAGACTGGAGCGGTAATGCTGACTGAAAAACTATTTAAAAAAAAATGTGGACAGCGGCAATGGCTCATCTGGCAACTTAGCGTCGCCTTTGGCGGGGTCCTGGTGCAATATCTGGATTATGCGCTGCCAATTGTTTCTCTAGGATGCCGAAGACGCTGTCCAAAGGGGCGCAGGACAGCGATGTCCGGCTGGAGCCGCCAGCATGCAGGAGAGCCCAGAATCGAATCGATCAGGCGGATCGGTGATCGACATGAATCGGATCGGCGGAAATCGGCAGCCAAGTCGGGAGAAGTCGAATCGGCAGAAATCGCCAGCCTAGTAAGGCAGGCCGCCATTAAGAAAGCGAAGTCCGCATCGTTTTTTTCGATCTAGATTTCAATCTCGATTGTGAGAAATCGGAATCCAAATCGGAATCCGAAGTCGAATCGAATCGGAATCGGAGTCGATCGAAATCTAATCGAATCACGTCGGATGAATCGGGATGAGCCCTGTCCCTCTGGAGCCGCCAGCATGCGGCGCATGAGCGCGAGAGCGGCGCAGATGCGCTCGAGAGGAGAAAGGCGCACTGAACGTGCAGTCGGTGCCGGGGTCCGGCGGGCGCGAAATGGGGCCGGCGGAGCCTGCCCGGTGCCAAGCCCGAGTCCAGACCCTGCGGCAGTCGTGCTTCGGTGGCAACTCACGGGAGCCTCCCATATCATCCTGTTGGCTCTTGCAAATCGACGCAAATCAACGCTAATCGGTGCTAAATCGGGGCTGCCTCGTCGATTGTGAAAACGCTCATCGACGCTGACGCACCCTAGAACGGAAATACGACCGTACACAAGGCTCCCCTGAAATGCGAGAGGCAGTGGTTGAACTCCTCCTGGATCCTGATCGCCTCTAGCGTATGGTCGTCCACTTTCGTCACCATGCCAGCGACCGGCAGCTGGGCCTCCACGAGGGCATCCGCATTGGGTCGTTTGCTGAGCGAGGATGTCGGTGCCGCAGCACAGCTGGTATCCCATGAGCTGTCTGAAGAGATCAAGCTCTGAGGCATCGGCCATGCCACTGATATGAATATTCAAAACGGCGTCAAGAACCAGAGCAATGTTTCCCGCTATGCGCTCGACATGGAAGTTCGGATGTTCAGGCGCCCAAAATTCCTTCGGCTCGCTGGTGGCCGACATGAGCTATCCTAGGGGTGTGCGTAGAGCTGTAATTGGCTGAGGGGGGCATAGGCGGTCATTCCTGGAAAAGAAATTCGCTGCCCCAACGGGCCAGAGGCGTGCTAAGATCTCCAGTAACTGGATATGTGTAGTCTAGTTCGCGCGCGCGGGGCGGCCCCTGGGGGTCCCCAGACGAAAAATACCACGGCCGACTCCCGGCAAGCTCGGTTCAAGGATGTCGGGACTCCTGGGGGCGGTTTCCCAGGCCCTCCAGATCACCCCAGGAGCGGCCCAAGGAACCTCAAGGCAGCAAGGCAGCTCCAAAAGGGCCCACGAATCGGAATCACGGCCCAAGAGCGCTCCAAGACGCCCAAGATGGACCCAAGATGGGCCAAGAGGCCCCGAAGAAGCCCCAAGAGCACCCTAAGAGGACCCCAAAGAGGGCCAAAAGAAGCAAAAAATGATTGAATTGTCTTGTGTTCTTGTGTTTTTCGCAGTCTCGCGTTTTCGGGTTTCGGACGCTCCAAGATGGCCCCAGAGGCCCACAAGACCGCCCCAAGACGGCTCGAGAGGCCCCCAAGAGGGCCCCAATGCGGTCCAAGAGAGCATCAAAACAATCCCAGAGGCGCCCAAGATCGCCCAAGAGGACCCCAAGACGTCCCCAAGAGGAGCCCAAGAGGGGAAACACGAACAACCAGTTCGAGCTCTGCCCCAAGCGGCCCCCAGGAAGCCTCCAGAGGACCCCGGGAGAGCCTGGGAGACCCCCTGGAGGCCGCACGAGGCCCCCAAGAGGCCCAAAAGTCCCCAAACTGCCCCCAAGAGGCCCCAAGAGACCACGAACGCGCAGGCAAATGCCTGCGATGGCGCAATACGGGCTGGCGGAATGAGCGAAGCGATTAAATTTAAAAAAGCCAGGGCTTGGGTGCGAGTGGAGGAAAAACTCGAAGTTCGAGTTCGGAAACAAAGGAAAGCAAGAGTTCGGGGGGGGAAACACAAATTCAGGGAGAGTTCAAAAATTACCCGGTGACGCACCCAACCCTTTCTACACATGTGGCGAATATATTTGGGGCCGCTCAACACAAACAAACACGTTGAAGGACCCGCCGTGCGCCTAAGCTGGACCTCCCAGGAGCCCACGAAAATGGCGACGATTGCGCGGTTCGCAGCCCCGCAGGGAGCCGCGAAGACTCGGTGGATCCCCGTGGACATCCACTCCGCTGGACCTCCCAGGAGCCCATGGTTTGCAGACCCGAAGCGCAAGCAGGAGGAAGGAGAGGAGGGAGGAGGAAGGGGAGGACGAGGAGGAAGAGGAGGGAGGAGGGGAGGAGGAAGGAGGGAGGGACGGAGCAGACAGTGCTCTATTCAAAACGAAAACCCGACCAAGGGAGGGTTCGGGATAAAGCACAAAACAGGAGACAGGAGGGGGAGGAGCGGGCAGGAGGAGGAGGGGGCAGGATGGGGAGGAGGAAGGAGGGAGGGCGGGAGGTGGAGACCAAAATGCTCCAGTCAAAACGAGAACCCAACCAGGGGGGGCTGGGAAAAAGTTCAAATGCTTTGAAATAAAGTTAAGGACAAATGAGCAACGCCTGCACCAAAAATAAACTAAGTTCAACATTTTGGAAATCAGACAACGTTTGAACAAAAATCGAGCACGATTTCTGAATTCAAGAAAAGTTCAAACGCGCTCAGGATGTTCGGAACTTCTTCGCCGCCAAACTTCACCCCAATGTATTCCGAATTTCCAGATGATAGAAACGTTGAACTCGCGCTTTGTAAAAGCAGTGGTCTCAAAATTTTGCGGGCCGTTGATTATTCCAGGAAAGCCCCGTTCCCGCCCCCTTCACCCAATTACAAGTGCAGACGTAGGTCCAAGAAGTCTAACCATCCAGTGATTCGTGGGGTGTGACAGAGTACCTCCCCCTTCCAGGCAGAAGGGAAAGATATCCGAGTCACACCTTAAGCCGAAATCCCACAGGGGAGCAGCAAGGGGTAGAGGAAGGGGTGAAGGCTTCTTAGAAGGAAGCTGCTTCTTAGCAGGCGCCGGCCCTGCACTACAGACAAGGCCTGCGCTTTCTGAGAAACAGGGGTGCTTCTGACAAGCCTTCCCCCCTACGCCTACCCCCCTCTGCGCGTGGCCGAAGAGGGGAGAGGAGATTACCTAACAGCGAAGACTGATAGGTTTCTAATAAGGTCAAAAGAGAGCATCATGACGCCCCAGGAGGGTCTGGGCGCGATCCGGGGGAGGGTGCCGGGGACTTTTTTTAGCCAGCAATTACACACTTCGTGGTCTTCGAGGTCCCAGAAATCCATTCCCGGGCCACATTCTGAATGCCCGGAGCCAACTGTAGGCCACTTCGTGGTCTTCGAGTTCCCAGAACTCCATTCCCGCGCCACATGTTGAATGCCCGGAGCCAACTGTAGGCCACTTCGTGCTCTTCGAGTTCCCAGAACTCCATTCCCGCGCCACATTTTGAATGCCCGGAGCCAACTGTAGGCCACTTCGTGGTCTTCGAGTTCCCAGAATTCTATTCCTGGGCATGATTTTGAATGCCCGGAGCCAACTGTAGGCCACTTCGTGTTCTTCGAGTTCCCAGAACTCCATTCCCGGGGCACATTTTGAATGCTGAGGCAGGCTGAGCTGAGGCTGAGGCAGGCTGAGGCTGAGGCAGGCTGAGGCTGAGGCCGAGGCTGAAGGCAGACTGAGGCTGAGGCTGAAGCAGGCTGAGGCTGAGGCTGAGGCAGGCTGAGGCTGAGGCTGAGGCAGGCTGATGCTGAGGCAGGCTGAGGCTGAGGCTGAGGCTGATGCAGGCTGAGGCTGAGGCAGGCTGAGGCTGAGGCCGAGGCTGAAGGCAGACTGAGGCTGAAGCAGGCTGAGGCTGAGGCTGAGGCAGGCTGAGGCTGAGGCTGAGGCAGGCTGAGGCTGAGGCTGAGGCTGAGGCTGAGGGCTGAGGCAGACTGAGGCTGAGGCTGAAGGCTGAGGCTGAGGCTGAGGCTGATGAGGCTGAGGCTGAGGCTGAGGCTGAGGCTGAGGCTGAGGCAGAGGCTGAGGCTGAGGCTGAGGCACTGAGGCTGAGGCTGAGGCTGAGGCTGAGGCAGGCTGAGGCTGAGGCTGAGGCAGGCTGAGCTGAGGCAGGCTGAGGCTGAGGCTGAGGCTGATGCAGGCTGAGGCTGAGGCAGGCTGAGGCTGAGGCCGAGGCTGAAGGCAGACTGAGGCTGAGGCTGAAGCAGGCTGAGGCTGAGGCTGAGGCAGGCTGAGGCTGAGGCTGAGGCAGGCTGATGCTGAGGCTGAGGCTGAGGCTGAGGGCTGAGGCTGAGGCTGAGGCTGAAGGCAGACTGAGCTGAGGCTGAAGCAGGCTGAGGCTGAGGCTGAGGCTGAGGCTGAGGCTGAGGCTGAGGCTGAGGCTGAGGCTGAGGCTGAGGCTGAGGCTGAAGGCTGAGGCTGAGGCTGAAGCAGGCTGAGGCTGAGGCTGAGGGCTGAGGCTGAGGCTGAGGCTGAGGCTGAGGCAGGCTGAGGCTGAGGCTGAGGCTGAGGCAGGCTGAGGCTGAGGCAGGCTGAGGCTGAGGCCGAGGCTGAAGGCAGACTGAGGCTGAGGCTGAAGCAGGCTGAGGCTGAGGCTGAGGCTGAGGCTGAGGCAGGCTGAGGCTGAGGCTGAGGCTGAGGCTGAGGCTGAGGCTGAGGCTGAGGCTGCAGGCTGAGGCTGAGGCAGGCTGAGGCTGAGGCCGAGGCTGAAGGCAGACTGAGGCTGAGGCTGAAGCAGGCTGAGGCTGAGGCTGAGGCAGGCTGAGGCTGAGGCTGAGGCAGGCTGATGCTGAGGCAGGCTGAGGCTGAGGCTGAGGCTGATGCAGGCTGAGGCTGAGGCAGGCTGAGGCTGAGGCCGAGGCTGAAGGCAGACTGAGGCTGAGGCTGAAGCAGGCTGAGGCTGAGGCTGAGGCAGGCTGAGGCTGAGGCAGGCTGAGGCTGAGGCTGAGGCAGGCTGAGGCTGAGGCTGTGACTGCGACTGCCGTTGCCACTGCGACTGCCATCGCGAATGCGACTACGAATGCGAGAACAGCAGAATTCTACAACAGGATTATCATCTGAATCTTAAGGGGAATGCTTCCAGATATGCTCCTACACATCGCTATTAGGTTGCTTTGCCGGGATATTTTTCCTTCAAGGAACACTGAACGATTAGCACCGAGCCGTGAGACGGAACACCTCTGGACAAGCCGAGAACGCCACAGGCGATGTCATGCACAGCGCAGCGCCAGCTGAGGGGGAGAGAGGGGAGACAAGAGGGGAGGAATGCGAAACGTAGCCTGGCCGGCCGCGCTACGACGTCACACAGATCATGGGAGGCAAGCTGCACTCCACGCCGACCGCATGCCCGAAGCTCAGGCCTGCCCTGGCGGACCTGGGCACCGCGCCCGGCAGGCCCCGCCCCTGCGCGGCGGCGGCAGGGCCCCCCGGGAGGGCCCCCCCAAGAAGGGCAGAGAGGCGCCCAAGGGCCTCGGCCTCGTGCAGAGGGCGAAAAATCCCCCCCCCATGATTACCACCCCGACGAGCGAGGCCGTTCAGTAAACGCACCCAAAGAAGAAATCGAACAGGGCAGGGCTGTTTAGTGAACACCCAGGGCCGTGTAGCTAAAGGCTAAGTATCGGGTACAGGTGGTTTTTCCTTCCTTGATCCTGGGCCCGCTGGCCCTCCGAAGGGCGGGCCGCCCGCCCGGATCTGGGCGCCCGTGCTCCGCCGTCTTCGGCTGCACGCAAGGAGTGGCCCTGGGCAGGAGCGGCCTGTGACGCGCGGCTTCGGAGTCCGTGGGCAACGTGTGTGCACCATACCGCGCTGGCCTCCCGAGGCGTCGTCGATCCTCGGCTCAGGAATGATCGGTGCATGGCTGCTCGGTCCTCAGGGCCGAAAAAACAACGCACCTCACCGCGCTAGCAACCGATGGAGCGGGCCTTGAAGAGAGTCCATACATGGTACGGCATATGGGCGCCGTTCTCGTACCGAGGGCCGCGGAGAGGCCGAAAACCCAAGCGAGCAAGCCAGCGCCTGGGTGGCCCACTTGTCGGGTGTTGCTAGGAGTGCCCCTGGCCCAAGGTGCCCCCAGGATTTCCAATGAGGCCCTCACGAGGCCCAGGGGGCACCAGGGGCTCCAGAATGGAGCGAAAAGCTGGGGGCACCTCGGGCCAGGGGCACCTCCGGCAACCCCCGAACCTGTGGGCCCGCACCACAACGAGGTCCCTCCAGCAAAGGGGCCGGCGCCCCGCCCCCCGCGCGCCTCGGCCCGCGGCGCGCTGGCTGGGCGCCGGGGCGGCCCTCCCCACGTTGGCGGGGCGGCTCGAGGCCGCCGGCCTGCGGGCAGGCCCCGCCTCCCCATCGCTCCTGCTGGCCCGCCCGCCCGCCCTCCGAAGTTTTGCCCTCGGCCCTCCCCGAGGATCGAGGAAGGATTTCGAACGTCTTCGGACATGTATTGGACGTTTTCGATCCTTTCCGGGCCTCCGGGGACCTCTGGGGAAATCTGGGGACCTCCCGCGACCCCTGGGGACCTCTGGGGGTCAGGATCTGGGGCGGGGGTTAAAAAGAGAGGGGAGAGGGAGGGAGAGGAGAGAGAGGGAGGGAGAGGAGGAGGAACGAGGGAGGGAGGGAGGGAGAGGGGAGGGGCACGAGGGGGGCCACCCTGCCCCGCTCGCTGGCCGGGGGGGGCCGAGGACGGCAGAGCAGACGCGCGGCCTCGAGGGAGCCGCGCCTGGCTGGGCACGCGCCGCCGTCCGTGCGGGGCTGGCTGGGTGCGGCGCGAGGCGGGGCCTGCGCCGGTCCTCCTGCGGCCGGGCGGGGGTGGAGGGCAGGAAGGGGGCGCAACGCCCAGGAGTCCAGGGGAAAGAGACATGGAAAACTGGGTTGGGGTGCCCATCCACAAAGAACTTTTGTTCCCCGCCCGAGGATGGGGAGGGGGAGAAGCAGGAGGAGGAGGAGGAGAAGGACCAGTGTAAACCCAAGAGACATCAACGATGTTGGAATACACCCTCCCTCCAAGCTCCCACTTCATGGGCCCCTACAACGGGTCATTTCCATTGAAGGATCTGCCTCGTTGGAAGACAACCGCTTGAAGACCCGGAAGCATGCCAAAACATGTTCTCGGGATTCCATCGCCACGGACAAACCTGACTGTTGCGTCTTGACGATCCTGGATCTGGCCAAAACGCCATTCTTGGGTTTCAACACCACGAATCAACGTAATTGTTGCACCCGCATTATCTGAATCCTTCCAAAACATAATTTCTGGTACGCTGCTCGTGGTAATCCGTGAAACTCTGAACGAATGTGCGCGGCGCTAAGGCGAGAGCCACATTTTGAAAAAGAAACGCCCTCAATCCGCGAAACTCTTGCAATATCTAAAAAACGAATGTGCGCGGCGTTACGGCGAGAGCCACATTTTGAAACTGGGTGATCCTCAATCCGTGAAACTCTCTTGCGGCGCTATGGCGAGAGCCGCATTTTGAAAGCGGGTGATCCGCAATGCGTGAAACCCTTGCAATTTTTTAGAGTGAATGTGCGCCGCGCTACGGCGAGAGCCACATGTTGAAAACCACCCGCCCTCTATGTGTGAAATTGTTGCCAAAATCTAAGCTTCAGAGTCATGATTACATGGTGAGGGAGTCTCAGGCGAAACTCCCGGCCAGCCCTAAAAACTGGCCTCGGAGTGCGACAGGGAGAAATCACTCATAAGAATAAGGAATGGAGGAGGAGGAGGAAGAGGAGGAGGAGGAGGAGGAGGAGCAGGAGGAGAAAGAGGAGGAGAAAGAGGAGGAGAAAGAGGAGGAGGAGAACGAGGAGGAGGAGGAGGAGGAGGAGGTGGAGGGGCAACAGTGGGGAGGGAGAGCAAAACGGTGGGGGCACGAGGGGGGAGGGGGAGAGCAAGAGGGGGGAGCGAGAGGAGGATAAGTAGGGGGGATGGAAGGGGGAGGGTAGCGGGGAAGGGGGGTAGGAGGGGCAGGGGATGAGTAAGAGGGGGGGAGGCGGGGTGGGTGGGGGGAGGGAGGGGGGGGGAGGGGGGGCCCAGACCTCCAACGCACTGAGATAAAAACGATGCGGATGTCTTTCGCAGTTTTCGGCCTCTGGGGTTTGCAGCCCTCCACGCCTGGCCCCAGGAGCACTTGCTGTTCAACTGGAAGTTAGTTACCAGGCCAGGTTCCTGCGCGCGCATCTGCTGAAGTCATGGGAAAACCACAACTTTGTTGTCCATCATGTCCAATGAACACACATGCGTGCAGCACGCCGGCGCATGTCAAAAACATTCAACAACCATCGCGCGCCAACCGCTTATTGCTAAATTACTCGGCGCAGAGATCCACATATGTGCATCCCATCACTCCTGCCACGTCTGGCTGGAGAACTCTGTCAGTGATTGTCTGGGTGTGAGAACGAGTCCGCGCAGACGACAAGCGCGACAACGACGACGACAGCAATCACTTCAGTGACGTTCTCCTCGTCTGAACATCCTTCAGGAGAACGAGGGAACACACAAGTGGACGAGCGAGAAGGAATTTCGCTTGTCGTTCTCACTGCGGCAACTCAGACAAGCGCGGATGGCGTTGCTACGCCCGCTCTGTGGCGTGCTGCTCACGGCGCCTGCTGGCAACTCGGGTGCCCAAATGCCACGCTGGCTATATCGCGGTAGCCACCTGCGTGTGAGCGCTGGTGCGAACGAATCCGAGCGTGAGTGATCTGAGTGTGAGCTAATCAAAGTGAAGTCGAATCTGGGTATGATTACATCTGAGTGCGCGTGAGTCTGGATGCGAGTAGTTGTGAGTGCAAGCGAGTTTGAGTGTGAGTGAGTCTGCGTGTGAGCGAGTCCGCGTGAGATGAGTACGAATATGACAATGAGTAAACCCGAGTACGAGGTAGCCTACATATGGGCGAGTCTGAGGGTGAGCGAGTCTGAGCATAACTGAGTCTGAGTGTGCGTCAGTCTTGGTGCTAATGAGTCTGTGTTTACGCGATTATGAGTATGAGCGAGTCTGAATGCGAGCAAGTCTGAGTATGAGTGAACATGACTGCGGGTGAGTCTGAATGTTATGAGTAAGTCTGAGTGAAGAAGACAAGAACAAAAAGGACAATAAGTTAAACAACGATCAGTAGACTTAAAAGTAAATCCGAATGTGAATGAGTGAATACGAGTGAAGAAAATAGAAACAAGGAGAGGTGAGCGAGCGAGCGAGGAGCACACAAGTCCATAGAGAAGTCTGGAGTGGAGAAACAGGCAAGCCACCTGAGGCGCTCCCACAATCGGGCGCGAATCCTGAAGTGTCCCCGCCCCTTACGACTCTCCCTTGGGGTGCTCAAACGCAACGCCTGCTACATCGTGGTGAGCAATGGACCACCAGAATAGAAAAGCCTGGGAGGGGGGGGGGCAGAAACAAGCAAACCGCCTGAAACATGCCCACGATCTGGGCGCGAACAGGCGAGCATCATACCCCCATTGCAGCTCCCCCACTGGGGTGCCCAAATGCCACGGGTGCTAGATCGCAGTGAGCAAAGGACCACCAAAACAGAAAAACCTGGGGGGGGGGGGCAGAAACATGCAAACCGCCTGATACATCCCCAAAACCTGGGCGGGAACGGGGGAGTGTCATACCCCCTGGCGCCCCGGCACGAACGGAAGGGATTGAAATATCCCCTGGCGTCTCCCCCTTGGGAGTGCTGAAACCAACGCCTCGCCTGAGGCATCCTCGTTTAATTGGCGCAAACGAGGGTCTGAGTGTGAGTGAGTCTGAGTGTGAGCGGGTGTGGGTGAGTCTGAGTATGTGTGTGCCTGAGTATGGATGCGTCCGGGTGTAAGTGAGTCTGAGTGTGGGGGGGTAAGAGGTGGAGAGAGGTGAGGGTGAGGAGTCGGCGCGCTTTGAATCATACCGAAAACCCAATCTGAGGAGACGGAGAATAATGCAATCTGGGCCACACGCGCGTCTCCGCGCGCACCTTAAAATCATTGTAAGACCATTGGCTTCTGAGCACTCGAGCACGGAGGTGATCAAAAATAAACGAAGACCCCATTAGCTTTCAACTAAGATATGTCCGACCTTCTGACTGTATGCAAGCGGGTACTCCTTCGTTATACTCATCAGCATAATCGGTATCATCATCGAGCGCGTCATCATTGCCATCATCATCGCCATCGTCGTCAACATCGGCCTCGCTGTCAACATCGTAATCGTCGAGGTCGTCACCCTTGTCATGTTTTTCTCGCACACGCTTCCTCAGCATCTTCGCCACCACCGTCATCATCATCATCATCATCATCATCATCATCATCATCATCATCATCATCATCATCATCATCATCATCATCATACTCTTTTCATCATAATATTAATAATCAGCATCGTAATCACCACCATCATCAGCATCAGCATCAGCATCAGCATCTGTGCCATCACCATCAATATCATCATTATCATCACTAGCAGCATCATCATCAGCATCCTCATCATGACCGCCATCATCATCATCATCATCATCATCATCATCATCATCATCATCATCAGCAGCAGCAGCATCACCATCCTTATCATTATCAGTATCATCATCATGCTATTCATCATCGACATCATCATCATCAAGAACAACAGCATCATCATCAGCAGCATCATCGTCATCGTCATCACCGACAGCGTCATCATTGCCACCGATAGTATCCTCACCGTCAGCGTTATCACCATCAGTATCGTCGTCGGCGACATCGTCCATCCCGTCGTCATGAACATGATCACCGTCATCGTTACCGTGGCTGTCGCCGCCCATTTGAGCTTAGTTGCGGCCATGCGGGTGGAATGGTTGCACGAGCATTGGAGATGGTCACGCACGGATGCGGTCAAAACTTATTGCACCCCGTAGGCTGCACCCAAAATGATTGAATAAGTTGGTATTGGTACGCTGTGAGATTGCACGATGCAAAAGGGTTTATCATGTTTTGTTTCCCCCGCTTGCGGTCCATCTCGCAAATCGTGCCGGGGAGTCGACAGCCAACCCTGCCGCAGGACCGTCATCGCCCTTGCCTCCCGAGTGCACGAATGACGTAATGATGGTACGGGTACAGCACTAATGATAAGTATACGGTTCGCCATGGTCGATCATGTTTCGCTGTGCACGTGATACTGTGCTATACAGCATTAGTTGATGACCGTTCGAAGAATTATGATTTGCTGGGCTGCTAGGATATGCTGAGCTTGGCATTGTGAGGCCATGCTATGCGAATCGTCTGACCTCCACGCTGCGGCAATGCAGCGACATGCTATGTTAAGGCATGTCATGCTAAGCTGTCAGACCAGAGCACATCCCAACTGGCGACGCGCCGAAATCACCAAAGTCGACAAATGTTGCATACCCGTGGTATGTTTTGTTTAGCTCGGTTTCGATGGCTCCAGCTTCAGTGGGTGGCTGGGCTGCCAAACCTCTGCTCCTCACCCCTGTGCTCGCCAATGTTTCTGTAATTGCCATGGCCCCGCCCGCTGCGCGGCGTCGGCGGCGCTCCACACGGTAGATCCCGTCGGAGCCCCGGGCCAGGGTGCAGGCGCGTGAACGGCAGAAGGAGCACATGGCCTCCGGGCAGCCGTCCGCTCAAGGAACCAAAAGGGCTGTTCACACGGGGGAGCAGCAGCAGCAGCGACAGCAGCAGCGGCGCGCGCATCAAGCAACGATGGCCAAACGTCACCGCCCAAGCACTTGGAAAGCCAGAGACAGTGTGGGGAAGCCCGAGTAACCCAGCCAAGCACCACCAGTTCCGCACGCCTTGGCACCAGACACAGTTGCAAATACAATATGTCACATCGTTGGCGACAGCACTGCTTGTCACAAGATATATCAATTTCGCAACCCTGTCGTCAGACGGAAATGGCGGACCAGAAGATAGAAAAACATAACGGAAACAGTCGCGTTACCGATGTGCCAAAGAGGCTAGACTGGCGTACTTGCTTAAACCTTTCACAAAGCTGCTGACGCTGCCTGGAACGATAAAGTCACTTCAAGAACACCCAGCGTCTGCAGCCCATCTATTCGGTGCGAACCCTCTGCTTGACGAATAGCACATGTGATAATACGTTTCCAGGCGTCGCTTGCATCAACAATCGCGTACATCCCTTCTCGCTGCATCCGATCAGCTGCAGATATATGCGTCGCACCCACCGCTCCCCACCCAGCCCCGACATTTGCTCACCCTAAGCGCGAGGACACCACAGGATGCCGTCTCCCTATTCCGTCGTGCCGCTGGTTGCGCATGTTCTCTGTTCGTAAGTCCCGTTCCTCCCCTTCCCTCACTTTGGCCGCTTCGCAAGCCCCCTCCACTCCAACACTTTGGACACTTCTGAAAGCGTCTTCGGGTGAGAATCCAATCATTCCTGTCAGCGTCAAGGTCGGGACACGGGGAGCAACGAACAGACCTGCGTGGAGGGACATACTGCGGACAAGTGGTGGACGCCCGCATCCCATGCCGCTACCCCCCTCCTCCCATGAGTTCCCTCCCCCCTCTCGCCTTGCATGCATACTTGTGCTGGTTGTGTATACTGGATCGTTTGCAGGCCCTCCCGCACTGCCTCCACAGTCATGAACCCCTTTGAAGTCCACGGGGGGTTGGCAGTCACGTGGAACCATCGCAGGACCCAATCATCAACAAGCCACCATACAACACTGCAGGGAGCAAGTGTCAGGAGCAAGTTCCCAGAATGCCTCCATGCGCGCAGGTGGCGGACCGATCACGAGGTCGTCCAGCGGGGGCCAGTAGATGGCAACCTGTGTTCTTTCCGAAGGGAACGACACTGCAGCAGGAGAGGTCGGAAACGTGAGCCCCGCCTTAGCCCATCGTGAGCAGAAACTCCTGCGCTGTACAATACCTCGCTGTCGCCACTACTACCTGAGATCTCGTACTGTAGCAACACGAGCATGCTAGCTGTCTGTATTCACACGCTGCTTCGGTGGGCGATTCACCATGTAGTCTTCGAGCAGCGTTGGCAATCAATGACCACAACCATATCTTACAATTAGCCGTGGCTTTGACTCAATTCGCGATATCCCCTTTACGCACACAGTTCCCAAACAGCGCTTCTATCAACGGCTCACTGTAATACGCGTAAGTACAGAAAACATATCGGCATCATCCCAGTAATGTCTCGTAGCGCCACTGCGTTCCAGTCTTACTTGCCCTGTGTGCAGGACTCCTCACGATTGTCCATCAAGTCCCGTCCCGAAAATACCAGATGTGTGTTGCTGTGTGTGGTGGCTTGCCAGCGGTTTTCCACCAAAACCGCCACAGAGCCGCAAGCACTAAATGGAATGCCATCAGGCCCCCCATGTTCCTCAACAATGGATATTGCAAACGGTATCGCCCAAACCCTCAACTGCAGGAATAATGTGGCGTTCCTGCGCTCTCTGAGGGGTCGTTGAGCGATTGTCCATCTACCCCGGAGAGTTGCTCGGAATCCGAACATCCAACATGTCTCCAGATGGCCACATGAGCCCATTTTCTAAACTTTTGGGTGGCCTCTTGGAGCGTCTTGGGGGTTCCTGGGCTGGCCCAAGAAGCCCATCCGCTTATTGTCTCCACGGTTTGAGCATCTCGCAATTTCGATTTGAGGATGCGAGCGTCCCAGAAACACCCAAAAGGCACATGGCATAACTCCAACTCGGCCTCCGAACTCCAAAGAGGCGCCCAAGAGGCCTCCAACAGCACCACCGAGAGACCAAACACAGGTAAGGGGCCCAGAGAAACGCCCCCCAAAGATGGCGCCTGAGATTCCCAGCGGGCCACAAAAACGCCTCCAAGAGGCCCCCAGAGACCCCTGAGAGGCCCTGGAATGCCTCAATGGGCCCCCAAGATAACGCCAAAAACGACATTCACTGTGCAGTCCCAGCGTGGCAAATGGGACAACCAGTTGGGGATGGCAAGCATCAGGGCGAGCTCCCCCATATGGAGGGCAAGCGCGGAAGAATGATAGATCCGCGCCGAAATCACGGCGGGCCCGCCACCAGAAACTCCTTCGGAACACGTGCATGGCATTGGGCAGACCGCGAAGCCCAGCTCGGCCCAAGGCCCTACAAAGATGGGGAGAGCAGACGGCCACAGCCATACAGTATCTTGCTCTCTCGGAGGGGGGGCAGATGGATCAAGGTGCCTGGCGCCCCGGTAGAGGCTGCGCCTGTGGACCTCAAGCTCCGCCTCAAGACCTCGAGGCCATACCACTGGTGAGCACCGAGCACATGTACTTCTTCCCGCACACGAGAGATGCAGAGACGGAAGGCAGGGGCAGAAGGACCTCCACTCGACCACGGGGGGGTGATCGAACCAGGCGAGCAGCTGATGCTCTGGATGAAACGTCGGCCAGCGGAGAACTGGCGCCAGTGGTCGCCGAAGTGGATCCGCCTCCAAGAGGAGGGCGCCACCCCCTGGAAGGCCAGCAACAGCCACGGCATGGTCACCCTTCGGATGGCCGACCGGGCGGCTCTCGCTGTCTCTCTTAACCGTCTGCCTGTCACGCAGGGGCGCGGCAAGTAGTCACTCACAGAGACTTGTCACACGCCTTCTCGCGCGAGGCGAGGACGCGGCCGAGATTGGCACCTAGCTTCCCGGCGACGCGGTCGGCATCAAAAAACGCGTTGCCATGGTGCACTACGTCCTCGTGCTCGGGTGGGCGGGCAGTCTGGGATATTACATGTCGTTTGCGTGGGCTGCAAAGCGGGACCACGGGAGGCACCCACCACCGAACCCCAAGCATAATGACACGGTGCGGTACACATGCAAATGACTCGTGGGCGATGGCATCGCCATCGAGCCGCAGATGGGCCTGCGCCCGCGCCCGTCAGGAGACGAGGCCGACTGGTCGATGCGGCGCGCGCGGGGGCCCGACGCAATCAATGCAGAGAAGCTGGGCGAAGAGGAGGAATTCCAAGCAGAACAGCTCATTTGGGGACGGCATGCGGACTTCCAGCGGCAGCAGCTGCGCCTGCCAGACTCTGGCTCAATGCCAGCCAGGACCGCCCACGAGTTCTGAGGCCTGGCGCAATTACGGAGCTCTTGTTCAACCCGCAATCGTCCCAATCCTGAATCGCCGTTCAGGCGGGGACCAGCCTGGGCTGACCCGCGCGGCACGCCCAAGGATAAAGCCCTCGCCTAAAACGACGTGGATTCCATTTTGGAACTGCTCAGGGCCTGTCTTGCCACACCAGAAGATTATTGGTCGAGCACCTTCACGGCAAACTTCCGCCAGGCCTCGCGCCGCGAGGGCTGCCAGCCCTCCCTAAAACGGCCGAAGCAACGCGCTGGACAGGCGGAGGTGCCACGACCGCTCGCAGTGGCGCCACGGACTGGGGGGCTCGCCACGAGCGCCGCTGGGCCCCCGCCGCTGCTCTGCATGTCCATGCCGGCCGCCCCGCTGGTGGCACAGCCCGATGACCCGGCGGCGACGATAAGGGCGAATAGCCCAGGGGCGGGCATTACACGTATTCGCCCGAGAGCCTTGTCCAAGACATAGATCATCGGCGCCGCTGGATACATGTATTGCTCTCCCCTGGGCAATTCGCCCCTATCACCGCCTCTGAAAGACGTGATCGCATACCCGGGCTCCGAGAATGGCCGGTTCGTCGAAGTGGTCGAGCTGCTAGCGTTCGCGGCGCGGGTGGCGACGCGCGGCGAGGCATGGCAATGCGAACTCGCGCAGCACGTGGCAAATAACCTGAATTCCAAAGCCTGGCGGAAGAAACGGCGACCCAAGCACCTTCTGGCTCGCCACCTGATCCGCTGGGCGCAACGGCTGGAAGCCAAGGACGGGTCATGGTGACGAGCCACTACGCGCGCACCTACCACAACGAGGTCACGGATTGGCTGGCACGCGAAGAGTTCGGCAAGGTCACTGTGCTGGACGCGGCTGGGGCCCCCGACGCGTCGCAGGCGGAGGCCGAGGAGCATCTCCTGCGGATCCCGATCGGGACAGGGCCGATCGCCAGGGCAGCCCTGAGACACCGAGCCCAGCGCAGGGCGAAGAGCGCGCCGCGGGCCCCCTCGCGCATCGACAGCGCCCGATAGAAGCAGCAGATGGCCAAAGCGCTCGACAAGCTGAACTAGAAGATCCTGGAGTCTCGAGATGACATGCACGACACACGGCGCCGTGGCCGCCCGGAAGAGGAAGATCGCGCTGGCTTGTCATGGAGAGGCAGGCGATGACACGGCGATCATCAAGATGCCGCTGGCACGCGCCCTCACCCGCACAGTCCGCCACTTCCTGTCGAAGCCTTGCGCTGACGACCCGCACCGCTGGGTCGACAAGTTGGGCTCGGGCACGCGGGGGCTTAAGGCACGGAGCGGGGGCGACCCGATGCCCCAGGGCGTCGGGCGTCTGTTTGCGGAGGCCAAGAGCTCCCGATCCTCCCAGCAAAGCCCTCCGTCAGCGCACGGACCCCATGGGGCCAGGGGCCGCCCTGCTCCGCGTCCCCGGGAGCTCGCTTCGGGAAGGCCCGCACGCTGTCGGGCCTGGCAGCCTGGACGATCCAGGGCGGAACACGGGAGGCGCGGCAGCAACGCCACAGCGAGGGGGCCAGCGCTGAGGCGCTGCCCCAAGGAGGCCGCGCAAGCGACGTATCACTGCACCGACCTTGCAGACGTGCTGCAGCGGATTTTTGCCTGGATTTCTGTCGATGCAAAGCCCCGAAACGGCGAGTGAAAAAGGAAATGAATTTCGCGTGGATGTTCGTTGGTCTTCATTCCTGGCCCAAAAAAACCGCACGAAATTCACCTCGAAATCTGGAGCGAAATTCTCCAGGACACTCCCATCCCATCGTTTTCCGAACGGACACCCAGGACACTCCGTTTCCCGAAACGCCCATGGAAGCTGCAAAGGCATCGCTGGAACTGACGGCCTCACCCGTCGGAGGTGGGCCACTCACATCGAGCAGGCGGGCTCCTCGACCCCGCCAAGCAGGCCACGTGGGAAAGTGCTGGAGGTGGTTCATGGCGCGGCCTGTCAGCCAATAGGCTGCTTAGGCACCTCAAACGTGTTTCTGGTCTGGTGGACAGCGACGACGACGACGACGACGCCTAATGGCGGCAACGGGGCGGTCAACCCCCCACTGCCCCTGGCTGGCGCGAGAACCGCAGCGTCCGAGCGCGCGCCTCCGATCACCCGCCCACGCGGGCCAGCAGATGGCCACGGCCGAAGGATGCAAGGCGCGGACGTCGGACGCGCGCCATTCCGCGCGCAACTTCTTAAACATAAGGATACGTCGCACGTCGGGGCGCGGCAGGCGCGCGAAGGCATATCATCTCACCGCCGCTGCACCACTTTTCTACATTTCCACATCGCGCACGCGAATGCGCGGCGCACGCGGGATCCCGCCGCGCTGCACCGCTTCCCCGTTGTTCACTTGCACATCGCACCTGCAATCGCGCAGCGCGCGCGCGCGCGCTACCGCGATGCGCAGTCTCGTCAGCAACGAGTCACCAATCCTGACAGCGCCGCGCGACGAGACACGCGCAGACACTGCGCCGATGCTCCGCCAATTCCGCCTCGCGCTGCCGACCGCGCAGCGCGCCGCCTCTCACTTGTCGTTTCATGACCTCCCCCGTGCAACGACATCGTCGGGCAGGCCGCGCGCCAAGCGCGCAGCGCGCCGCCTCTCACCCTTTGTTGCACGACTTCTCCTGCGCAGCGACATCGTCGGGCTGGCCGCGTGCCAAGCGCGCCGAGGTGTTCAGCCCCCGCAGCGCAGGCGCCTTTTGCCCCCCTCGGAAGGAGGAGGCGGCA